TACTACTCTGTGTTGTCCTCTGCAACTTATGGGTTTTAAAGGAACAAGAAATATACACCTGTGAATGTTGTTTATTTTAAAAGGATCTGTGGATGACACTTGACCATTAAAAAAAAAACAAAAAACCTGCCATTGAGGGAAAGTAGCTCAGCCGTCCTGGATTCAAGCTTCAGCATGAATAAACAAAACATAATACCGCTGCTTGCCTGTGGATCACAGAATTGAATAAAGAGATACATGATAGACTAATGGATGGATGAAAAGATGGACTGATGGAGTGTGTGTGTGTGTGTGTGCGCGCACGCTCGCATGCGCACCTATGTGCCCCTATAAATGGAGACAGATTTTCTGTCCTCTTAAAGATTTTGAAGTTTTAGCTGTGACTTCATTTTTTTTTTCGCTCAAGGAATAGAACTGAATCAGAACAAGAGGACGAGTTTCTAGTATTCTGAGTTGAGGCTTTTATGTTCTAATTCTGTTTGCCTGACTCAAAATCTGACACAGGATGCCTGACCTTTCTGTAGCTTTTTCACTGTCTCCAGCAAGTCTTCCATCGTATTCAGAGATGTGGCCTGCCCTGTAGAGATGAAAACCAGAATTAGAGGACCCAGCAGGAGTATGGGTAAACCGAGAAAGACACAAACCCAGGTTGAAAGCAGCTAGCCATCTTTAGACACTCCTGGGCTATGGCCAAGGCTGGGGGGAGGGCCAGGTCTCCAGCCACAGCAGGGCACCTGGGGAACCCGTTCCCTGTTTTTAAGGATCATCTTGTATCCTGGATGAATCAGCCTCACTACAAGGGGAAAAAAGACTTTCCTGAACTCCCCTTATTCAAACTCAGGCTGAGAAGAGAGAATGTCTTCTTGATTGTACTGCTACTGAAAGGTCATGATAAGATTCCAATAAATGCAACAGGGAAGGCAGATTTCATATTAATTTCTTTAAAATAACTATAGCTCTAACTTGTAAACTCTAACAAATTATTGTGTCTATAAATGGCTACTCATGCTCTTAATATATATATTTTTGCATTTTTGTGTGTTTGTGTGTTGTTGTGGTTGTTGTTACACATATGTGTACATATATGTATGTGGTGGTGCATTGATTTATGTGGGGAAATAAATAGGGCAGAAGTCAACTTCTCTAGAAGTTGTACTCCACTGTATTTTTTGTGACAGAGCCTCACTATTCGTGGGGCTGGCCATGTCAGCTAGACTGGTCACCCATCCTAAGTATGGAAATTGACACATTTCCAACCCTCACTCCTGCTCACCCTGTGTTGGGGTTACAGACAGTACTCAGGAAGGGTTATACTCATGCTGAACTTGGCATGGGTTCTAGGGATCTGAACTCAGGTCCTTCCACTTGAGCAGCGAGCCCTTTACTCACTGAAGTTCAGTCCAGGGGCTGTTAAACAGAAAGGTGTGGATGTGGGGAGCCTTTTGTTGGACAGCCATGACACCAATTATGAAAAGAGAGGGGGGAAGGGAGAGAGAGAGAGAATAGGAAGGAGAGGAGAGAAGGAGGGAGGGAGGGAGGGAGGGAGGGAGGGAGGGAGACAGACAGACAGACAGACAGACAGCCTCTGGAATTGCACCAAGATTTTGACATTTTTAGTTCTAATCCAAATTAATACAAAGGACAGATGAACACGGTAATGATGCTATTGGGAATCTGATCAACATCATGAGAACTAGGAACACATACGAACACACACACACACACACACACACACAGATGCATGGTGGAGAAAGTGGGAGGAAACCCCTACATTAATAAAGACCTGTACGTCCATCCCTCGGCCCTCACATGAGGCAGGGGTAGAGCCTCTAACCAGAGTGCAAGACTCCAGACCTCAGTTTGACCCAGTTCTGCCCTCCCCTCAAACTGTTTAAAACCACAAGGAAGTTGGGATATTCACAGTTGCCTTGCCAGAAAGAGTGACTTGTGGCTTTGTTCTTCTTTCTAAACTCTCAGCTTGGCTTCACAGTTATCTTGTGTGGACTTTCATTCCTGATTCCCCATTTAACTCCTTAGGCTTAACCTATCTGCCTCAAGACTATCAGGCAGTCGCATTACTGGTCTCCCTCCAGTAATCAGTTATGTATTTATTGGGAATTAATGTGAGTACCTTTCCACCCAACTCCATTCATACAATTACAGATAACTACTAATAATCAACGAAGGAAGAACTACCAAGAAGATGCTACCCCAGCAGTAAGAGATATTCCCACCAGTAAACAAAATGTTCTTCCTTGAAGCACAGAATGTAACATTCAACTCTGAGTTGGGTGTAAAACTCCTACGAGCATACATTTGTAAGTGTGGGGCTGAATAATTTTGAACATAATTACATTGAGTGTTCTTTTAATACCCAGTACTGAAATATAAAAACACAAAGGTTGAGCTCTACGGCTGAGTTCGGTTGCTGTTGTAAATGTCTTCTAACATGAGTTTGAATGGACAGAAGAAATAAGAATGACCTGTGTAGCCCATATCAATGAACCACAATGGACTGACTATTTTGCTCCCAGTTCAAGCAAATGGATTTTTTTCATGATGCATACTTCCATAGATGTTCTAGCATGAGCCCATATTACTTGAACAATTCAAGCAAACACCCCTAGGAAAAAAAATGCCCTAAATTCTTGAAATCAATGATAAAAGCTCAAACCCCAGCGAGCAACTCCTCTCCATAAGAACCTGGATGGAAAAAGAAATACCTTCAAAAACACAGACCACAGCCAGAAAGTGAACGCAGAAGTGCTTCTCCATCATATAGAAAATCTCTTACCCTCAGACCCCAAGTTCCCCAGTCCCTCTCCTTAGAAGTCATTCAGTGATATAAACTCTTGATTCACATACAGTCATGCACCCTTTTTCCACACCCTGAACTCCATGCCGTACAGGATGTGGCATGTGTTCTATGCCACTTGACAAGGTATACCAGTGATTGGCTTATTCTTTTTAGTGCCTGTGTGGCTTTCCACTACACGCAGTCCATAATTTAGGAGCAGTCTCCTTCTGTTGCCTATGGACTTTCTCCTTCACAGCTCTAAATGATACCATGATGATCACATTTGCCATTTCTCAGCTGCAGACACAAAGTAGGTCTCCTCTCTGTGTCTGCCATCACATGCCCTACTGTGTGTCACCATGACCCATAGTTCCTTTCCCTTGTAAGGATATTCACCACTGAATTAACCTATGCCAGTATGACCTCATCCTAAGTATTTATGTTTGCAAAGATCCCCGTAGGCTGGTTAGTTTGTATTTTATTTGAATGTGTACGGATAAATACCTGCACGTATGCCTATGCACCACAAGTCTGCTGCTCAAAGGTCAGAAGAGGAATCAGAGCCTCTAATTAGAGTTACAGGGCTTTGTGAGGTGCTATGTGGGTGCTGGGAATCAAATCTGGGTCATGTGGAAAAGCAGCCCTTAACCACCCTTAACCACTGAGCCTTCTTGCCTGTTCTGCTGGTTAGTGTTTAACTCTCAACTTGCCACAATCCGGAATCACTGGAGAAGCCTCTACTGAAGAATTATCTAGATCAGGTGGGCCTATGGGGATGTCTCCGGGGGTGGGAGTGTATTTATTGCTAATTAATACAGGATGGCCCAGCTATGGAGGTACTATCCTCCAACTTGGGAGTTCTGAAAAGAGAGAGAAAAAAGCTGGCTGAGAGCAGGAGGCATGGCTATGTGCTCCTCTCTGATCCTGGCTGTGTATGAGTGTTGTGACTAGCAGTGAATTTCTGCCTTGATTTCCCTAAAATGACAGGCTGTAACTCAGAATTTTAAGCCAAATAAACTGTCTCCTTCCTACATTGCTTTTTACCAGAGTAGTTTATCACAGTCACAGAAATGAAACCAGAACCTTGTGGTTTCAAGAAAGGCCACTGTTTCACATTTATTACCTTTATTTAATTCTGTAATAATTTCATACACATGTACAATGTATCATACTGTGAGGCTCTGATGGCCCCAAGCTGGGAAATGAGGAGGGGGAGTCACACTTTTATTTTGATTAATTTTTGTGACGCTATAAATCAAACTCGGAAGCCTTACACACACTAGACCAGGACTTTACTAGCTAAGCTACAGAATTTACCACTGTCAGCAGCCCAGTGACTATATTTTCACCTTTTAGAAAAAAAAACTCATGTGTCACTTAAAAAAAAATTCACACCGAAATAACATTCTAAAAAAACTTTGAATGAAAAAAATTTTCCTTCTCTGAATCTCACTGCCAGGATACAATGTCTGACAAGTTGGTGCATCTCCTCCTGAGACATTTTTATTATTTAAAATTTTAATATTTTGCCAAGAAAAAAAAAAGCTCACAACAGAGAAAGATGAGTATCTTTCCTAACATTTTATGAAACCTTCCAAGCCGAGTGTGAGGCCATGATGAACCCCAGTACTTATGGCCTTGGTGCTGTGATGGTTAACATCACCCACAGTTGCTTCGTCCTTAATCATACCCAGTACAATTAACAACTGTCATGTAGAATCTCCAATACTCGGACCATATGTAGTGTTCTCTAACCAGCCCGTGCTCTCCAGCTGGCCTCTGCAACTTCTGCAAAGGCTCCATCCGTGGTTTTCTTCTCTCTGGCTTTTTTACAGCTTGTCATAAGACCCAGGGTAACAGGGAAAAAAAATTTTTAGTTTTATATCTTCTAGTGTATAATGCTTTGCCTTGTGGGTGTGTCTGTCCACCATGTGTGCCTGGTCCCTGTGGAAGGTGCTAGATCCCCCAGAACAGGAGTTATAGACAGCTGTGAGACACTGTGTGGGTGCTGGGTATCAAACCCGATCCTCGGCAAGAGCAACCAGTGCTCTTAAGTACTGAGCCATCTCTCCAGCCACCAAGCTATAAGAAATTTTAATTTCTAATTTAAAAAATGTAAAACCTAGTATCTCTGTGGACTTAAAACAAAGCAATAACAAAAAACCCTCCATGTTACAAAAGAAAAGAGCCCGAGGAGGGCGAGTCCCCATGTAACATTTTATTTTGAAATTGCTTCAGATGTACACAAAAAGTCATAGAAATAGACTGTGGTGCTCTGTCAGCATCTCCATGTGGTGTTTGTCATCTGTAAGTTGCAGATAGTATGACCCACTAGTCCTTAATACTCCAGTGCACATTTCCTATTTAAGGAGGCTCCAGGTACCCACACAACTTAAAGTCTGGGTATTAACACTGGTCCCACATTAACAGAATCCTCGGGTGCTGCTCAGCTCTCCCTTGCTCTTACATTGTAAATTACGTATCACTATCGATTTCCTAAGAGATAAATAAAGCAATACATCACAAAGGCCTCCATTTGCTCCCCTCCCTCAAGGCCCCTCTCCACAATTATCAGTGTGCTTAACTCAGATACTTTCCAAGGAGCTGTCCTTGACGGGTATACCTTCTCCTTTCTTATTTCAATCCCAACTAGTCAATAATAAAAATAAAACTTCTGGAGCCCTTTTTTATGAACAAACAACTGTATCGACTGAAATTTATATTTCTCCGCCTTTCTTAAAAAAAATCTACAATCTGCATGGATATACCTAGATTTGTCAGGTTTGGATCACTTCTCTTTCTGCCTCTGTTAGTAACACACCACTGGCCACCATTATCATCTGTCTCCTGTGATTACCTAGCATGGAGACTCCAGATGGGGAACAGCATCTGCTGAAAACATAATCCTCTACCAGAAGGCCACTGGGGCTGCATAGCATCCCCCCTATGGCCAGTCAATGGCTAAGAAATGCGACCCGATACGCCTGCTAACTTCCTCCAGTACCGATTAAGTCCTTTATTACTTAAACTTTGAAGAATTTGAAAGGTTGATGCTAAACGTTTAAATCTCTGTGGCACTGTATCATGTGCTTAACAAAGTGTGGCTTGTCTTACTTCTATTCTTTGAAAACTGATGCCCAACATGTGGTTCCAATTTAAGACAAATTCTGTTAAAATAATTGCATTATTCACCCACTTTTTAAAAAAGGAAAAGGTCACTGAGTACCAAGCAGGTGTTTAAGGTGCCCAGGGAAACTGCAGGTCTTGCTCTTGAAGGTCACACTCATTGTTTTGGAATCTCATGAACAGGTCTGGCAAGATGCCACCTCCCATGTTTGACCATGTAGTGACAGACTGGGTATGCAGAAAGGGGAGGTGGAGAGAGAGAATTATAAATATTGAACACCCACTGAAGCAGGGTCACGGTCCCTGGTCACACTATTTTCTCTACTTTAGAATGTTGAGAAAATTTCTATAATTAAAACAAGAATGTTCTTCTAGTGATTTTACCATGGGAGTTATTTTCTTTCGAAGGAACTGCAATTTCCAGTATTTTCTAGGCTGGACTCCATCTCCTTGCGCCCGATGAGGAAGAGAAACTGTCATTACTAAGTCAAACCAAATTTGACTAAAGTGGGGAAAACCATTCTCAAGAGCCTTGAGAAACGCACGTAGTGATCTAGGCTGGCTGTGAGATGACAGGGGTCCCTTCCCTCAGCTGTGCAGCAACAGAGCGGCTTTGGGAGAACATCACTTTCCCTTCTCGACTTGCTTAGTAATGGGTCCTGAAATGAACTACTTGCTTAGGATACTTAATATGGTCAGTAAAGTTGGCAAGTTAACCTAGGTGATGAGAATACGCAGTTATTTATTTCCACTTTGTGGAAGTTGTAAGTTTCAATAGGATAAAAACCTTTTTTTTTTTCCTAAAAAAAATCTCAATTATCAGAGCTGAAGCCTCTTTCCCATCTACCCTGTGGGCCCTCACTACCTCGGGTATCTTCAGCTTTCTCAGCTCCCAGCCACTTCGCCATCAAAGGCTCCAGATCCGCAGCCATTTCCCAACGTGGGGTATCTGCGCATGTGCCTCGGAAGAGAAACAACAGCAAGGAAAGGTAGCGCGCGCCAAGACAGACATTGTTGGAAACCAGGGAGTCGGGCAATACAGGTATCTGCTCGGAGCAAGCGCAGAACATCTGCAAACGGAACTGCTAGTTTGCGTTTGCACGCATGCGCGCAACCTCAGGACCGTGTCTAAAAAAGGCTGGAAGCTAGGTAGTGAGCAATTGAGGTGAGTTGTGAGCACAAGCTCTTTGAGGGCTCTTCTTTAGGTTGTCACTGCAAGCGGCCAATGTCCAGAACATGTTCGTGCTGGGTAGCAGCACAACACATTTCCAACCCCTGTCCGTTTACAGATCTCCACTAAAAGGTACAGAAGGAAGTTAAATGTTTCGTGAGTAAAAGCTCCGGCGGCTAAGAGCATCTTCACAAAGCTGCATCCCAGCCCATGGATGAAGTCGAGTCGCATGTTTCACACAGGTGGATGCTGGAGGCCACCTTCTTATTCGTGTAAGACACAGCCCAACACTGGTGGGGCTTGGATCTGTTTTGGGTTTTTGCTTGTTTGTTTTAAAGTAGGGAAAGGGAAAAAATGATGGGGGCGGGGAGGGAGCATGAAGGACAGAGGAATGTCTTGAGGGATTCAGCTTCAGGCTTTGTTTCGTTTGTTTGTTTGTCTGTTTTTTGTTTTTAAATACCCATAGGCTGGTTTTAAGCACAGGCTAGCCCTGCATTCTAAATTCTAGAGCCCTTGTGGGTTACCCACCCCTACCCTGAGGACAGCCTCAGCCCAGTCTCAGGTCTGCTTGGAAGATGGACATGGTAGCAACCTGTGCTGCTTAGAAGAGGCTTGGCAGAGACAGCTGGTGATGGAGGGTACAGTGGCTTTCAGGCTAGCTAAGGAGGTGAGGCCGAGGACAGAGGAAGCTTCCCACTTTCCTACACGTGGAGGTGCATGAGGGGGCTGCTGTCACCCTTCTCCCATTTGTGGGCAAACCCTGACATCTTGCCCACGCCCAGGGAGTCAGGGACCAGTCCCACACAGATCACTGCCCATATTTCCAGAGTAGACACAGAACATAAAGCCAGATGTGGTCGTTCAGAGTCCAGTGAACAAGCCATTGTTGGGGGCCTGGTCTGCCGAGGAGGATGGGGGTGTGGAGTATTTGGGTGGGTAACGGATAAAAAGCCGGTCCTCTTCCTTCCTTACCCAGCGCAAGAGCTTCGTCACTACTAAGATGGCACCAGCCTTGGTTACCAGGGGGCTGAGACAAGTATAGAGTTCAAACTTGGACGTCACCTGGGGAGAGGGAAGGAGAGAGTCAGCTGGGGTAGAGAGGCCATGAAGGATTCTGTGTTCCCAAACCCAACCCCGTGTCCTCCTGAACCTTGGGAGACATGCTTGGCAGCAGCCAGATATGGCTTGCTGGGCAATCTGGTATTCATCCTGTCAAGGGCAGACAAGAGGCCAGCTGGATCGGCAGCTTCACTGGGGTGATTCTGACTCTGTGTGTTTCTCCGTTTGCTTATCTGCGGATTAGAGATAATGGAACAGCAATCCTCGATTCTGTGGGAGCGATCGTTACATCCATGGCTGTCCTTGCTCCTGCCCCTGTGGTATCATCTCAGCCTTAAGATTCACTGTGATCCTCACACCAACCTGAGGCCTGACCCTGAGGTCTCCAGGACCTCCTCTGTGACACTTCCCACCACTCTGCCAGTGTCCTCTTTCTGCCCCAGCAACGTTGGCCTCTCTTCTGCTGTTCCTCTAATCCAGCCTGCCTCAGCCTCGCCTCACATCTTGGTCTCTTCCCTGTGCATAGGCAGTTCCTCCTCTAGGGACCTCGCTCACCACATTCTCTCCACTTGGAAGCCATCTTTTCAGCAAGCCTTCTCCCGACCCCTTGATGTAAAACCCTGGAGTTCCTTAGAAAAAGACAGTAGTGTTCCTTGGCAAAATGGCTGGGTCCAGGAAGGATGGAGGATGTCAAGTAAGCTGTACTTGTGTGTGACAGAGATGTGTCAATGGGAAACAGGACTCAAGCTACCTAAATCAGGGGGTCCACTGGCTAAGTCCAAAATAACTGCAGAAAATGCTAGAAAAATATTTTACACTACCGAAATCAAGAACACTCTCAGGAGGCCATATTTATATAAAATATAAACTTCTGGGCCAGTGAGATGGTACAGTGGAAGAAGGGGCATTTGCTAGCCAAGCCTGACAATCTTATGGATTCTCACAAGCTGGCCACTGACCTCTATACTCAACACACATGTGCATGCATACACATTAAATAAATAATAAATAAATGTAATTTCTAAATTTAAAAACAAATACAACAAGAAGTCTGTTTTTATGTACAGTCCCAACTATAAATGTAAAAAGTGGAGTGGTTAGAAAAGCCATCAGCAGGCAAATGCCTGGTGACTGCTGCAAGTTCAGGCCATAGAGCATGAAAAAATGAATGAGGGAGCAGACCTCTAAAACCCACAACTACCCACGCCATGGGGGCCATAGGGGCGTGCTAGTTACAAAGGGGACACACTATCGTAGAAGTGTGGCCAGCCGACTCCACCTTCCCCGAGAGAGCTGAGCTGACGGCCCAGGCCCTTCGAACAGTGCACTTACTGAATGGCCCCTCACTGTGACCATGCTGGAGCACAAGCCCTGAGCTGAATCTGGGGCACTCTACCAGCACGTGTATAGACTGATGTCCTTTGAAAGTGCCAGGGCCACAAATCAACAAAGCCTGTGGAGCCATTCCAGAACAAATGAGACCGGGGACATGAGTGAAAGGTCTCTTTGTGGTGATTCTTTATACCAGCTTTGCCACTTCCAACTTCAAGATTACTTAAAAAGTAAAACGATAATCCTAGCCCAGAACAATGCTGGATCCATGTTAATATACACTATTATTTAATGAACCTGTTGGGGAGGTCTCACTTCCTATGGGACTGACTGCCTGGCCTTCCTCGGTAGCTGACCTTTAACAGACTCACAGGACAGTCACTCTAGGTAGAGGGCACAGAGCAGTCCTGAACCTGCAATGGTTACAGAGAGCTGGGGTCTCTACACTGGTAGAAGGGGAACTGGCAAGCTCAGAGATGGCTGGATGTGGGATCCTTGAAAGTCAAAGACCATGTCCTGATTGCTAATGGGGGAAAGCGAAGAGATGGCAGGGCTAAGGTAGAGCTGAAGACAGTGAGATGCTCTTCTGTAATTAAAGATGCTCGTGCCCATAGGGTCAGCGATGCAGATAAGGCAAAACCTGTGCACGGTCCGGTGAGCCCATGGCGGGTGCTAAAGTTAGAGGGGGTCATGACAGGGAAGCAGGCTCGCAGGAGGGAACTCATTTACTCACAAGCTCATCAACTCACCCACGCCAGCAGCGTCTCTTTCTCAGCCACGTGGTAAATGAGGCGCAGGGGCCGGGAGGTGCTGTGGAGGCGAGCATGCAGGCGGTGATACAAGTCGGACAGTCGCTGCCTCTCCTCCTCTCTGCTGTATGGGGCCTCTAGCTCGGGACTGCAACAGAGGGAGGCAGTGGCATGGTGAGTCAGAGCCTGCCTCCCCTCTCAGACTAGGGCTGTAAATGGGTTATGGGTTCAGCTTCTCCCATTAGACTTGAGGGTTTCTAGTGGTTGTAAGCCAAGCTAGGAAGGAGAGCCTTTTTCCCACTACAACAGGGGGACTCTTTTAGGTTGGTGCTCAAGCCTCTGCCATCAGAGAACTGTCTGTTCCCCATTTCTAAAGCATGGCTAGCTATCTCTCCTAACTCATGTGTACAAGATGCTGACCGTCTTGGTTAGACATGTCTTCAATCGACTTGGGGTCAGGGCCCACCTGGTAAACTGTGGCAGCTGGCGGTGTTGTTCAGGGATATCCAGTGGCTTATAGAGAAAATGCCGGAGGCCAGGTGCCCCCACAGCCTGCACACTGTAAGCAGGGGCATTGGCTGCTGGGCCATTAGAGAAGCTGGCAGCCTCCCCAAGAGTACGCAGGGCACCAAGGTTGTGCATCCCATCTTCAACTAAGCGCCGGCAGGCAGCCATGGCATGAAAGGCTTCACGGTTGGTACCAAGCAGCAGCAGGCAGACAGGCATGGAGTCCAGGCGGGCCACATAGGCATAGAAGAAACCGTCCGGGTTAAAGCGAGGCAGGCACACAGGTGCCCATGCCTCACCTGCCGCGAAGGCTGGTGCACCCACCCAGTCAAGCAGCAACTGGAGATCAGCTGGGTCCAGCCGGCACTCGGCCAGCACATTCCTCTCCTGGGCTGCTGTTATCAGTCGACCACCAACAGCCAGCACCGACAAGGCCAGGCCTGGGGCTGTACAGCGCCGCAGTAGTGTGCCCAGGGCATCCCGCAGTGGACGGGCCAGAGGCACACAGCGCACAGCACCCAGGAGCAGAGCACCTGGGTCTTGCTCCACACTGTCCAGGAGCCGGTCCAGTGTGCGCTCTGAGCCAGCCAGCAGGCGACGGAGGTCATAGTTCTGCTTATGCGCGAAGATTCGGGCCACGCTTGCACGTGTTAGTGTGCTCACAATTTGTGCATGTACTGCAAGCAGCTCACCTCGTAGCTGTGCTGCAGACTGTGGAGTCCGGGACACAGCCACCAGCAGGAGTGGACCCTGCTGCAGGAACACCAGCTTGTGGTCCTCTAGGGGAAGAAAAGTGGGTAGGGTGGACACAGACCAGGAATGAGCCAAGGAGTCAGAAAGGCCACCTTTCCCAAGCACTCTCCAACACATCCAGCACCTGGCCTGACTTACTCTGCCAGCACCAAAATCAGGGTGAGGACAAGCTAGGGCTATCGGGACATCTGTGGAGCTATGTTGTGTGTGGAGGTGTCAGGTAATTTAGACACAGCATGGAGTCAGGTGGTGGGATGGGGAGACGAACAAGAATTAAGACAAAGCCAGGTCATACAGTATGCCTCCTCACTCCCAGACACCCAGGGCATGTGATGCCAACCACATGGAGCCCAACGAGATGGACCTCCAGACAGTTTCCCTGACCCACTGACTCAGGTGTACCCATGGCTATACAGACCTCTAACCACCAGCCATATTCCCGGCCACCAGCTCACCACTCTGAGCCCTTTCCTCTTCACTCACCAGCATAGATGGCACGGATGGCGTCTCCTGCACTCTGCACGAAGGACACAAGGGCTGTCATCACACCCATGGTGGCCGACAGTGCCTCCACGCTACCGTACCGTGAGTAGATGGGCTTGCCCGCCTCACTCAGCACGAACACGTGCTTCCGTTGGCTGCGCCAGTCCTCGTCACTGGGATCCCCATCATTGGGGTCCCCATCACTGGGGTCCCCATCATTGGGATCTCCATCACTGGGATCCCCATCATTGGGGTCCCCATCACTGGGGTCCCCATCATTGGGGTCCCCATCACTGGGGTCTTCTCCCTGACCCTCAGAGCTACTCTCAGGTTCTCCAGTGGGACCGCTGTCTGAAGCCGCAGTTTCCCAGTGCTCACAAGTGCTTGGCTGGGCCTCAGTCTGAGGCAAAGGTGACAGGAGGCCGGATGGCTGGTCCGTGGCTCCTGAAAGGGACCATTGAGTGGCTCATCTCCCACTAACCTCATTTCTTCCACAATCTACCAAATCCTTACCAGCCCTCTCAGGCCCCAATGACCCCACCGCACTGACAAAGATCTCCATGTCTTCCTAGCTGTTCAGCGAACGTGGCTGACAATGGCTAGAACCTTATGTCCACTAACACTAAGGTTTCAATGAGCCCCACCCTAAAACACAAATAACCCAACATGTTTTCACTGTCCTTCAGAGAGTGCACCCCACTCTCTGAATCTGCGGTGGCTCTCCGTTAACTCCACCTGACCCCTTTTTAATTCCCCTGACGTGTACTTACCCCTCAGTGACCACCATTAAAATGTCCCCACTGACTCTCCTAACCCCTTTTCACCCTCATCCACATCCACAGATCTCCACGTGGTTAACCATACTCCCAGTGACGGTCCTTATTTTCCCATGACAGTGGTCATTAATAGCCATGGATGTCCCGATCACCAGGACTCCCCAACCTACAGCCACTCCCCCTATTTACTTCTACTGCCTCATGAACACCCAAACAAATACATATTAACATCCCTGACACCTTGGTCTTCAATAACCTTATGACAGTTCTTATTTTACTCCAGGTCCCTGCCCCCACTCCACCAATGGCCACCACTAACAATCACTAACCCACAAGGTTTTCACTACTTCCACTGCTTTCCCCCAGAGTTACCATTTTAAATTCCATGAGGCCACTTGCTTCCTTCCAGATCAACATCCACTCCCACTGTCACTGATGTCTGTTGACTCACCCAATAACCATCATTTGCCACCCCATCTGATTTTCTCACACTCAAGGTTTTCATATGTTCTTAATTGTGCACTGATAATCCCATGTTCCCAAATACCCAAGCAACGTGTCTCAATTCCCACCACCCTTGAAAACAACCCTTTTGGGACCCAACTATGCCCTATTTGAATCTTTAATAATCTACACTCAGGTCAAGTCCATTCTAATTTCCCTACAACAGACAGGTGTCCCAGGATGTGAGAGCTCCAATCTTAAAAATGAGACTGTTTCGGGCAAAACAGCACAATCCATCTTCCTAGCCTTGACCCCTTACCATAGAATACATTTGCAGAGGCACAATGCTGCCCCTCCCGACAACAGCTGACACCCATTGGTTTGTATGGCATTTCTCAACGATTTCAATTAAGTCAACAAGTCTGTGTCCAACGACTGATCGAGCTATGCCTCAAGTTACTTTCTTGGGTCCCCAAAAGACTGTCCACTGGTCTCCCATTGATCTCTTCCCCACTCAGCAAGCACTGACAACCCCAAGGGATTGCTTCCAAGGCTTCATTGAGGGAAGCTATACCTGTGTCCTCCGTGTCCCCATCTCCGGGATCCAGCGTGCTGGAGTGAACCCCTTCACTGTCTCCAGCCTCCTCTCTGGGGAACTGAGTGTCCACCAAGTCCTCCACGCCCCCGGGGGCTGGGACAGCATTATCTCCTCCGGCCTCCATCTGCACATCCCTGGAGAGAAGGGGAATCGAGGGTGATCGGCAGCAACAGAAAACTTCTTAAAAGCCTTCAGGGAGCCAGAACCCCTGGATACATTCCTAGTGCGGTTTCCCCTACGGTTTTCGACAGGACGCGACATTCAAAAACATGACCAAATACTTGCACCCTCCGGCACTTTCGGATGGGTGACGCTCCGCTGGGCTTCCGCAAACACGACACATTAACACCTGTTTCAACCTCTTATCTCAACTGGGTGGACAGCAACACTTCCAGGAGCCGCCGCGGCACCACACTTCCTGGTGTGGTGGGGATTTGCCACACTTCCGGAAGCGACGCCTCCCGGGACACTTCCGGTTTCGCAGCCGTATTTACTCCCTGGAGTGCCAATGGCTGCCACACATTGCGTTCCCTCACCGTAAAGATAGCTCGGGACTCTCCCGGAACTCTGAGGAAACTGCGCGACCTTCCACCGAACGCAGCCAGGATCGGCTGCGAAGTGGGGCCAGAGCGGCCCACTTCTTGTACCAAGGGCTCCCGGCTGAAGGGGGCGCGGCCTGGAATCTACTAGGGCAAGAGGGCGGGGCCTAGTTCCTCTCACCCAATCAAGAGTAGGCTCCTCCTTATGTCCCGCCCCATTCTGGTTGCGCCTCCGCAGATAATCTGCGCTAATTGGTGAAGGCCACAGCTCATCCCTTGACTGACATCTCCCTGTTTCTAACCGACACCTCAATCCTGTTCCGGTCTTGGCTGGAGCTTAAAAGTGCTGAACCAATGAACTCGCGCCCCCAGAACTGGGACTTCAGTCCCTTTTATTCAGTAAGAGAGGCAAGGCGGTGAGTGCACTTGACGGACAGCCTCTCTTTCCAATCGGAAAGTCGCGCGCAGTCCAGTCAGCCTATGAGACTCGGATGCCGACGCAAGAGGCAGGCTTTGCTTCTGGGACTGACTCTTGGGAGTCTGGATCCCTCCAGCCTGTGAGGGAAGCCTACAGAAACAAAGGCAGGCTAGAATGTGCGGGCTACACGAGCACACACCACTGGGAGAGGTTCTGTGGACCGAGCCAACTAGATCCGCATCCTAATCCTTGGGCGGAGTTGGGGTGTGGCTCTCAGGGACCGCTGCGTTCTGGTTGGCTGAGAATTCTGCCGTGCCTACCTCCGCGTGTCACCATTGGCTGGATGGACCAGGGCCAGTAAGGAATCTTGTGCACCCAAGCACCTAAGGCTTAAGGCTGCTGAGTGAGGATGGAAGTGTCTAGGTGGCCAGAAGTCGCTCCAAGCTAACAGTTTTGTTCATTTTGATTTTGAGTCAGACGTTCCTATATAGCCCAGGCTGGCCTTATACTCACGATCCTCCTCCCTCAGCCTCTATCTGCCCCCTAAACTCAACTCAGGGTCGACTACGATTCTGCTCCAGGTCCTTGCAATGCCTTCAGGTTTAGAATTAGGGTGCAAATGTACCTGCTCTGGACGTCCAGGCCCGTTTTCTCTGTTTTTTTTTTTTCCCTGTACATTGGTCTTTGAGACTTCTTGAGCCCGGCAGTTTGTGTCTCTGAGTGTTACTATATTACTATCAGAGAAAATGGAGTTAAACATACCATAATGACATAAAGGTCGAAGATTTCTGTTTTGGATACAGGGTTTCAGGTATCCCGGGCTGGCTTCTAACTCACCAATATGGCAAGGATTACTCTGCTTCCTGCCTTTTCTTCCCCAGAACTTGAAATTACTGTTGTGCCCTTGACACCAGGTTTGTGTGATGCTGTAGTGTTAACCCAAGGCTTCATGCACGCTGGACAAGTATTCTGCCTAGTGAGATACATCCCCAGCTCCAAGATCAAGGAGGTGTCATCATCCAGGGGATATAATATTCCTGAATATTTAGATACTTAAAGACAAAACTTCAGAGTACCTTACTGTCAAATTGACAAAATTCAAAGGAGAAATAGTTCATACCGTTAGGTGAGGATTTCGACATTCTGTGCTCAGTAAAAACGGCCAAAACTGTTGGCAAAAATAAAAATTTAAATCCAAATATCTAATAAATATCTAAATAAATAAATAAGGATAAAGAAGATGTGAACAACAGTAGCCAAATTAATTGATATTTATAAAAAATATTCTACCCAGTTACAACAGAGTAGACACTTCTTTTCAGATGCACATGCTGGACCAAAAAAAATGTTAATATAGCTTTAGAAAGTAAGTCTTTCAGAGAAAATCATTTGCTTACATCAGAAATTGTGGATATTGTTAACAAAGATTGGAGAATTCTTCCAACGGTAGGAATTAGGTCAATATTCATCATATGAACACATATATGACTCAGATGTTAAATCCATGGGATATTAAGGAGTATCTTCAGCTTCGTGAAAACAGAAAGAATGGGCAAATGCAGAGACTGTAAATCATGAGTGCTCACAGGGAAATGTACAACTTTATATGCTCACAGACGTATGAGAAGAGACACCTACAACCAGTGATCTACATGTGAACCTCAAGATGATAGGAAATGAAGAGGAAGAAAAACCTGCAATAGAAATAAGAAAATAAAAAAGATGGAATTCAGCAAAACAGAAAACATACAGTCAAAAGAGACAATGTAGAAATCGTTATTTTTTTGTGAAAATGTCAGTATAGTTACCAAAATGTGTGCTTAAATGTGTGATAAAACCAGTGATCAATAGAATTGAAGGGTAACATGATTAAAGGTCTCTAGACATATTACAATATTGTAAATTAGCTTTGATTTTTAAAAGACTGAAGTATATATGGATAGGCTTGCTCGTGCCTAAGGGATACTAGAGTAACTAGCTAGCATGACTCAGGCTGGGAAGGTTAAGTGACTGGGCCTACAGATACTCAAGCCTCTCACCCCCGTCCCAGGCTTGTACCTCACTGTAGACGTTTTTCTCTTATTCCTACATTAGAGGTCTTAAAGACATACCTTAGAACAATGGTTCTCAGCCTGTGGGTCACAGCCTTTTTAGAGGGGTCACCTAAGACCACCCTGCATCTCTGATATTTATATTGCTATTCATTACAGTAGCAAAATTACAGTTTTTGAAGTAACAATGGGATAATTTTATGTTCGTGGGTCACCACAAGACGAGGTACTTTATTAAAGGGGTGCAGCATCAGGGAGGTTGAGAGCCACTGCTTTAGAATGTAGAAGTTGGTAAGAAGCCTAGGAACCAGCAGGATTCAAGGGGAGGGAATAGGGGTACCAACAGGGATATCAACATAGTTGTGTTTTGCAAGAATGACCAGTAGATGGCAGAAAGTCCACATGGTAGAGACCTTCCAAACTCAACTCACTGTCCAGTGAGTCCCAGGAATTGTCTTCAAGAGCTTAGGTTCTCACCTCCATGACAAGAATCCAAATCTGAAAATGTCTTAAGACTCTTGTTTCTCTCACAATTAAAACTCACTAAGAGGACAGAGTCTACTCTGAAAACTCCTTTGCAAAACGCTTCGCTATGCTATTTCGGACTTGTTAGGAGAATGTTCTTCCTTAAAGCAAAGATTGCCAGCTCAAAGTAGTGAGTCTCAAATGCATGCATATGTGTGTGTGTGTGTGTGTGTGTGTGTGTGTGTGTGTGTGTAACAATTTTGCACAAGGGAAAGTTCACCTGTCGTAAATCTGCTGAAATAAGACACCATTATGATTCAGAAGTAATGGGAGCTGGTGTTTGGTGTTTGTTCAGAACTTTGTAGTAGGCAAAGCTGATAAACATTAGGGAGGAAGACAGAGCGAGGATATAGCTTGGTGGTTAAAAGCACTTGCAGAGGACCCATGTTCAATTGCTAACAGCAGAAAATGTTAGAAATGTCAGGCAGGCAACTCCAGTTCCAGGACTCCTGACACCTTCTTCTGGCCTCCGTTTCCACCCACATTTATGTGGGATCACACAGACAGGTAAATAAAAATAATGACAATCTTTTTTGAAAAAGAGAGAAAAGAGCGGTAGATATGTTCATTGTCCTAGCATGTGTCTCTTTTGCTGTGATAGACCTGTCTGAGCAAAAGCCACATTGGGGAGGAAGGCTTCGTTTGCATTACAGGCTGTAGTGTGTCAGCCAGGGAAGCCAAGACAGAAGCTTGAAGCAGAAACCACTGAAGAACACTACTTACTAGCTTCCTTTCCATGGCTAGCTCAACCTGCTTTCTTATACAATCCATGACTACATGCCTGGGGGTGGCACCACCCACAGTGGGCTGGGCCCTCCCACATTAATCATTCATTAAGAAAATGCCTCACAGACTTGCCCACAGGCCAGTCATCTAATGAAAGCAATTCTTCAACTGAGGTTCCCACTTGCTAGGTGACTCCAACTTGTGTCAAGTAAGCTAACCCAGTGCATGTACCCTAATTTGGCTATCATATAATGTATATGTATATCAAAACATCATGGCTGGGCTGTGGTGGCGCACACCTTTAATCCCAGCACTTGGGAGGCAGAAGCAGGCAGATTTCTGAGTTTGAGGCCAGCCTGGTCTACAGAGTGAGTTCCAGGACAGCCAGGACTACACAGAGAAACCCTGTTTCAAAAAACCAAACCAAAACAAACAAAACAAAAACATCATATAGTTCACCATAAATAAGTACAATTTTCTATCATTTAAAAATTATATAATAGCTCTTTTCCCACAATAATGAACCTACTCTATTTTAGATGGTGGGTCCTCGATGCCTATTCTCTAAATACTGCCACAATGGCACTTAAAATGCAGCATAAGTTTCAAAAGAGACAAGTCTTCAATGTGTTTGTTTTGCAACAAACAGTCCCATAGCATGGCATTTTATATGACTTTAACTGGGAAGCATGCTGATACTCAGAGATCAAATACTTGCCCTAGATGACATAGAAAAAAATATACATTGCTATTTTCATTTGTTTACAGTACATGGAATTAGCCTGACATTAGTAACTTTGAGGTGTTATGAATTCAGATGAATAGTAATTGCTCTCTTGACCCCATGAAGCATGTGCTAAAATCTCGTTAACTCTGCTACTTGGAAGAGTGGATATGATTGGCCTGGCCTGAGTCAAGGTGACCCTAAGTTAATTTGTTAGGAAATCATGTGGCAATAGCTATGCTAGTGTGAACAGAATACGTGAGCCCAGGCTCCCCTGCTGGCTCCAGGTTACATGACCCGCTTTAGTGCAAAGGATGGAGTAGTTACATCATACAAGCCAGTTGCTGCACAGGACCAGCTCATAACTGTTCTCTGCCCTCTTCCAAAGCAAGGCTCCACTTCTTCCCAACTGCTGTGTGTCTCTAGTGTCATGGCTCAGTTTTTAAGAGCTTCACGCTATAGACAAGCATCCTTGGAACCAGCTTTGTTCTCATTACAATATGTAAAAGCTTCTGGGCCTAGGAAAGAGTGCCTCACCGGTTCCTTTCCTAAAACTTGATAGGATGGTTAGGGTTCTTGACTGAAAGTAAGAGAAGGCAACTCCAGGCTCATGCTTTGGGGGCAGGAAAGCATAGGGAATAGCT